GGTACCAGTTACGTGTGACTCACCCACTCAACAGACACCTGTGGGGCGGCCCGCTCAGAGGCAGGCCCTCTGCAGGACTCACGGGGCCTGGTGGTGACAGGAGAGGCAAGGTCCCCGCAGGGTACCCAGCCCTCGTTTGGTGGCCGCTGCGTGGCAGGTGTTGCCCTCAGCACCTTGTGATAGCTTCCAGTCCTCCCATGGAGACAGGCGCTCCTTCCCACCCTCGTGACAGAGGAGGAAACAGGCCCAATGAGGAGAGGTAACTGCCTGGGCTCACAGAGCTGGTGCCCCTGAAACCCAGACTGGGGCACGACTGACCGTGTCGTGGCCGCGGAGCTCGTACGGGGTGGTGAGGCCCAGATCCCGGTGTGGGAACTGGTGGCACCGCAGCCCCAGGGAGCCCCCAGGGCAGCCCGGGTGGGGGTCTGGAGCAGGCGGCAGGGCCTCTGAGCGCCTGAGACCCTCCCTCTCTGAGAAGCTTCCTGCTCACTTCCCAGCCTCTCAAATCTGGTGTCCTAAATCTCCTCTAAAGGGGTCAGAGAACCTCCCGTTTCATCCTTAGAAATCACTGGTGTCTCCAGTACAATTGATATCTCTGCTTTTCTGTGTCACCTTCGGAAGGAAAGACAATGAATGGGTCTCCGTTAGGCAATCAGCTGCTCTGCTGCTAGAAGGTTCTGGGCTCCCTCGAAGCCTAAGTCTGCGGTCTGGCACACGTTTTACCTTCTCCATCCCTCACATAGGGGGTCCCTTCCATCTGTTACTATGTGCTTGGCAAGGGGGCTGCCTGATGCTTCTCAGACTCTCCGCTGACCCAGGAAGAGCCCCATTCTTGCTGTTGGCTTTAACTCTCCCGGTAGGACCGGACAGGACTGAGGCCTGGATTGGCGGGGTCTGGCCAGTCCTTAGGGCCAGTCATTAGCCTTAGGGCTAATCTCTGGGTGAGCTGACTAAGGACCAGGATAAAGCTCAGCTTCCTCCTTTTTCCTTATTCAGTTTCCATGACTTTGGCTCTTTGAAGGGGGTTGTCCTGCTTTCCAGGAACCGACCTATATATAATGGCCATTTTCTAGCCTCTACTTGGAGCTGGAAATCTTTGCTTTCATCCTGAGCCCTGTTTGGAGATTTCACTGGAAGGTTCTCAGCTCTGTCTAGACCTGCAGACCTTGGTCCAGCACCCTCATGCCCTAATTTGCTAAAACAGAGGCGTTTATATTTAGAACCTAGATCATGTTGCGTGTGAGGAACTTGAACTCTCTGGTGCGGTTTGGACGTGCCTTGTTCTGGTGAAAACTCTCTCTGTCCTGAGGATTTTCCTGGTGCGGCCAGACTGCTCGGTCAACACTGCGGGAAGGGGAGGCCTGCCGAGCTGTGGTGCTGCCCCGGCCCTGCCCCCGGAGGCCTGTGTGGCTTGGCCCCAGGTCTCCCTTTCTGCTGCAGGGGGCAAAGAAGTCATCTTTTAAAAAACTCTTTTAAATGCCAGTAATCATCCTCCTGGCTGGTGTGGCTCGGTGGATTGAGTGCCGGCCTGCGAACTGAAGGTAGCCAATTCGATTCCCAGTCAGGGCACATGCCTGGGCTGCAGGCCAGGTCCCCAGCAGGGGGCACTTGAGAAGCAACAACTCATTGATGTTTCTCTCCCTCTCTTTTTCCCTCCCTTCTCCTCTCTCTAAAAATAAATAAAACCTAAAAACAAGTTATTTCTCATTCATGTCATAGCCCCATAGGGGCAGTTCTACTTGGGATCTTCTATGGGGTCATTTAGAGCCCAAGGCTCAACCTTGGCTCCTCCCTCTTGGTCCTCAGAGCCCTCCCCATTCAGCCTGCAGCTGAGTGAAGATTCATGGGTAATTGGATGGGCTAGGTCTGGAGGAGGTGCCCGTCACTTTTGCCCACATTTCATTGGCCGGATGCTTGTGGTTGGGGTCCAGAAACAGAGTGATTTCTCAAGCCTACGAGGCCCTTTGTCTCGGGCTCTCTCCATTCTCCACTGTCTTTGCTCGACATCCAGCTCTGGCCTGGGCTCGTCTCTTCCTGGTCAGAAACCCGGTCAGCCGGCCGGAGCCAGTGCACAGCATCCCTCTGACCTGCCCAGGCCCTTGCCTGGAGATGCAGGCCCAGAGGCGCAGGCCCATCTTCCGCATTACTGCGGGTGTGAGTTTGCCACATGGTTTCCTACTTTATAACATAGATCGCCCTCTTTCAGCTGCCAGTTTCCATGTTGGCTGCTGCCTGCCCACTAAGCCCACGCCATGCATTTTAGGTTGTTGCTATGGTGGCACCCACTGCCGGGTACCAACCTCTGCATTAGTTCAGGGCACACAGCGGCTTTCACAGGCAAACCCCAATTCTACGTGCTTTAACTCAGCGTTCATCACTCACTTGCACCATGTCCCAATACAGATGTTCTTGGGTATGAGCTTCTTCTACTCGGTCATTCAGAGACCCGGGTTTTTCCATGATGAAGCTTTGCATTTCTGTGGGTCCTCATGGTCCTCTGCACCTGCTGGCCCTTGAGAAGGAGAGGAAGTGACCCCCAAGGGATGTATCCGACATTGCTTCTGCCCATATTTTCTTGGCCAGCTCGCAGTTATTGGGCCACACTTACTGCAAGAGGGGCCAGGAAACGCAGTCCAGCCACAAGGCCAAGAGGAAAGGAGAACAGGTGTGGCGTGCACCTGGCAGCATCTGCCTCTGGGGCCAGTACTGTCTGGACCGAGGGAATAACGACCAGGGACCTAGCAGCGAGAAAATCAGCAGGCAGCCTGCCTTGGTGCTCAGGAGGGTGCTAACGCGGTAGCTAGTAAGATCCAAGTATGTGCAAATGTCTTCGTTAACGCAACCGACGCTTACTGCGTGTCCACTCTGTGCCAGGCAGTGGGTCAGACTCTGGAGATCTGGAGGAGAACAAAGCTCCTCTCGGAGCTCTGGGGGATCCCCTCTCATCGCACCCTTTGTGCTGGAAGCCGAGGGGCCGGAGGACCTGGGGAGGGAGAAGGAGAGTGGGGAGAGTTTTTAAACATGGCTGCTCTGAGTGCTTCCAGCAGCCCTAGAAACACACCCCATGTGGTCCTGCCTGGCTCCTGCCATCAGCAATGTGCCGGATGACAGGCAGTGATGGGAAGGAGAGGGCGCCGAGAGCAGAGGTTCTGTTCATTTCTGTCCTGGATTTTTCCTAGGACGTTGTTTTCCTTCTCTGAGGCTGCTCCATGATGCAGAGTTGTCTCCGGCTGTGGGCAACGCCAGGGAGCTGGTGCTGTGTCTAGAACTGGACCCCTCCCCAAGTGGTACTTAGGGCACACAGGGCAGGGCCCAGAGCGCAGCATCCTGCTCTTTTTACATCGCTGGCCCTTCCTGTTAGAAGCTGCTTCTGGTGTTGACTGCATAGTGGACCCGGTGAAAACTGAGGAGGTCGCTGAGATCTGTGCACGTAGAGCTTTCAGTGAGCAGCCGTCTGGGCACAGCTCTGCTCCATGCCCAGTCTCTGTCCAAGTGCATGGATGCTCCGCCCTCTGGAGCCCACTCTCTGCGCAGCTGAGGGTGGCCGGGAAGGATCTGGCACCTGCTGTGTAGGGCGGCGGTAACACTCTCCAGCAGGGTTTTCAAAATGAGCCGAGAAGATGGGCACAGAGGACATGTTTAACATGGACCAGAATAGACCATGGAGGGGAATTTTTGCATCTCTTTGGGAGGCTTTTTGGTAGAAAATCATGTCACTAGGAGCAGGAAGGTAATACCTAGGATGCCCTTGCAAGCCGCATTTGTTAATTTGTTGCACATTTTCAGCTAAGGAAGTGAGAACGACAAAAGGTTAAATTTCTCACATCAAATTAATTCAGCCATCTCTGTGCAGTGGTGGAAGCAGAATGCCATTAGGCTCTCTCGTCTCATTTCTCTCATGCTGTCTTTCTCGGAGCCTATCAGATAGGGTCCTGGCAGAGAGTCAGTTCTGTGGATGCAGAGCGTCAGACTCAGTCTCTTTCTGAAACGTGCCGAGAGGGCTGTGATTTAGAGAATGTAGCCTGCCTTGTGAGGAAGGATGAAAAGGTACTCACTGCACCTTTCTTTGCATGTCAGGTCCCAAATGTTTTGGCTGTCTTCAACACGTGATTCCTGTGTAATTTTAGTGTCTGTATTTTATTAGAGTTATTTGCATGACATATTAGAACAAACTTATTAAAACTGCTTGTATTCGCGGATCTCTGGTGGTTTCCTGAGTACCGTTTGGGTTCCTGACTAGCCGATAAGCTATGTGTCTTTTGAGTGTGGAATTATGTATTCGAGATGCAAATGCAGGGGCGATTTTGCCCGAGTTTTAATTGCTTTGCCGCAATAATGCATGTGATTTCTCTAACCTGGTTTAAGTCATTTTTGAGGGGGAGGGGGTGGGGACGTATTAGCTACTACTACATAAAAAGCTAAATATCCTTGGAATTTGGATATTCAGATTTTTTTTTATTTGTTAGCCCTGGTCTTTTTCATATTGTCATAAACTAGAGGGGGGTAGGGCCTACCTGGATTTTGAAGATTTTTTTTTCCCTCTGTGTAAAGTTTTATTTCCCCAATAGAGCATCAAATAATGGTGGCATTTTTATGTGGCATATCTGGGACAAACAGCCTCTCTTAAAGGAAAGATCACTGTAGGCTTTGTCTCTTGCCTCAAGTTTGCTGCAGGGCTCCTCTCTGCTTATACAGAAATGAAATTACAAACCACCAGTAGCCTTGGAAACTTCAATCGATTCCAAATGACTAAATATTTAATTCAGTCGCTGCCGAGACTTCCAGGCATGACTTGGGTGTTTTTCTTTTTCCCTAGGGCTCCCGAGAGAGCCGGCTCTGCAATGGCTGCCGGGGCCGGCGCCTGTGGCCGGGAGGCTCCCCTGCAGTGAGGAGCCGGCCTGCTCCCCTGGCAGCCCCTTTTTGCAAACGGTAGTCGATTTTTGCAGAAGGTTTGTGACCAGATCGCTATGCATAATACTGATGAAGCATTTTTGTTCCAGCTCTGTCTCAGAAGACCTAGGCTGTAGACGTGGGGACTTCAGTAGGAAGCATTATGGATCTGTGGAGCTGGTAAGTGGGCACTGTCTGCTCGCATTTGGGCAGTGGGCACTGGTGCTGCGTGGATTCGGGTGTCGAGGACGCTCGCTGGGCTTCAGAGGCTCTGTTGTGTGTTTACTGCCAGACCAGGTGAGGACGAGGACGGACTGGGTGCAAGCGGACGACTGTCAGAAGACGACAGCAGCCGGTCGTCTCTGTTTGTTTTCATCCTCACATACTTCTCATCTCTGTCTTTCAGTTGGTTAAGAACATGTGGCAGCTTGGTGTTTTTATCTGTTACTGACATAGATAATTCTTTAAGTGGTTTATGAATTAGGAAAGCACTTGCTTTTCCTATTATCTTGTTCCTAAAAGTTTATAAGTCTGGTTTTTGAGATTTAAATGTTACTGAAATACGTATTCTGATTTTTTTGTGTGTGCCTTTGCTCTCTGGATATGTGTTAAGAGTTAGGATATTATGAGTTTTCTTTATTTTCTCATTAAAAGTATATTTGTTGGACTAGATAAATGACTAATAGATAATCAATATGTGGAATGAAAATACCTATGTTTTTTTTAATGAGAGACATTGGGGTTTGAGTTATGATTTTTAAAAACAGTATGTTTTTATTGTACAAGAGACATGATGAAGGCATGTATAATAGCCTCAATTCTTTTTAAAGACAGAATTGTGATTTTTTTCTCCCCAATTGCATGGAAATTTGAACACATTTTCAGGGCCATGTGCTCATTAAATTCTCTTTATTATTATTTAATATTATTTAAAGCATTAAATTTATTATTTGTATTTACCAAAAAAAAAGGGTTGATCGGATCCACTTGCATGGTGCCCAGTTACCCTCCTTCCTATCAGCCGCACTCCTACAGGGCTTCAGTGGCAGGAAAAGGGGTGTCGGTGTGGACCCCCGCGGTGTGCTGCTGGAATTCAAACATGCACCCCAGGGTTGACTGTGTGTCTGCCTGGGGCTGAATATTCTTGAAAATATAAGATTTGGTCCTTGTTCTTAAAGTGCTCGATGTCCTCCAGCAGGGCTGATAAGATACATAAAATATCTAAAGAATGGATTTAGTCACATAAAAGACACGGATCGACTCAACCGGTGCCAGTCCTGTGCCAGACACCATGCCCACTGAGACCGCTGCCTCCCCTGAAGTGCGTGTGCGGAGCTGTGACTCGGGTGGGAGCTGGTGAGCACAGGGGTCCGCAGAAGTAACGCCTGCCTGAGCGTGGTTGGTAGGGTAATAATGTGGGGGTAATAATTTATAGTTTTAATTTGAACGTTTCATTTAAAATGCCATATGGTGTGTGTCAGTGTGATATTGTTATGTTACAGAATTACATGCTTATGATTTTGTCGTAAAAAAGGGGCGCTATTTGTGCTGGCCCCTGTATTGTGAGAGGTATACAACAGGACAAGGCAGGGGTTAAGGAAAGGGAGACAGTGGCCCCTTCTAGGCAGGGACCTTGGGGACGTGGCCTGGAAGGCCTCACGGATCCCGAAGGATTTGGGTTGGTGGCAAAGAAGATAAGACAGAGATGTGGGCCAGCATCATGACTCCCGGCAGTGGTGTGTTCGAAGGGCAGTGAGCGAAGGCTCTGCCTGGCAGAGAGCGAAGGCGGCAGAGCTTGGTCGTTGGAAAGCAAGGAGGCTTCGGAATCCGAAAGGCCTGGGTCCCCGCACCAGCTCCCTCCCTTACTGACTCTGAACTTCTCTGGACCTCAGTGGTGCTTAACACCTCTGCTCCGAATCACTCTTGTTTCCTCGTTTACCAGTGGTGTGATCTTGGACTTCTTCTGGCCTCAGTTTGCTCATCTGTGAAACGGGGTGTTTATCTACCATGTAGAGTTGTTAGAGGATTAATGAGGTAATTAATGCACAGAAGCACAGTCCATGTGAACTAGCTGTGATTCGGTAGCAAAAGTAGAACCCAACTCTCAGGTAAGACTTTGAACCTGACCTAGTAGGTAGTGTGGGGTTCTGGCGAACATTAAGAGGGTGTGGTGGGAGACGCACAGGATGAAAGGCGGACCCCTCATAGGCATGTGGGAGTCATGGAGTGGCAGACCGGCGGGGGGGCTGTTCCGAGAGCAGCGGTTTCAGACTGGAACAGGTGTCAGAAGCACCCAGAGAATTTATTTAAGCAGATGGCTGGACCCCCCTCCCGAGTTTCAGGTTCGGTAGGTCTGGGGTTTACGCAGAATATGTGTTTCTGCCGAGTTCCCAGATGATGTGGCGGCGGCTGTTGTGCCCAGGGCCACACCGAAGAAGCTGCCTTTGGAGAATCTCAGACTAGTCGTGTGTTACCCTGGACGTCCTCCTGGCCATTTGTTCAGGTGTTTACTTGGGGGCCGTGAGCGTGTGTGTGTGTGTGTGTGTGTGTGTGTGCCAGTGATCAACCTAAAACACCACAAAGGAACTTCTGAACACATTTCTAGATTCCATGTATGATTTCACCACCTTGCACGAGTGTGTTCGTCTCCAGCACCTCCATCTGTGTAGCTACAAATGCCATCTCTACATGGCTGTAATCAAATTACACGTCCACTTCGCCCTCCTCTCTTTTCATCAGCTCTGGTTTATAAATGTCCTCTTCTTGCTGTAGGTCTTCATTCAGCGCTGCCATTCTCACTGGCACACGACAGCCCAACATGGTGACAAAGAACTCCCTGTGTCACAGTTTCCCTCCTTTTGTAAAATTAGGTCGTCTCCAGTTTTCCTGTGTTAGAAATGGCACGCAGCGATGTTTGGGATGGTTGAGAAAAATGGCATTAAGCCGAGTCCCATTTTTGCTACCCAAGGGTTTACAGAAGGAGGTGGATCTCTCACTTAGGAACCACAGAGATTTCTAAATTAAAACCCACGTTAGGTGTTCTTATGCTTCTAAGAAGGTGAACTTACTTTTCTTGTTCCTGGCTTTGTGAATATTCTCGGGGACCCAGTAAGTCTTTGGGCATCCTGGAACTCAAACACTGTCAGGGTACCCAGGGTTCTGTACAATTGAAATTCTAGCATGCACTTCCTCTGACCTTGAACAGGTGAGGAGGAAGTCCTGGTGAAGAACTAAGCTTGGCCATTCAGGTCAGTGATGAGGGCCGACTGGGGGCTTCGGCTTACCTCGGTGTAAATTTGGTGAGAGCGTGGACACTTGGCTCCCTGCAGCCTCGTGGGACAGGCTCCCAGGCCCCATTCAGTAACTGTTGATGGCCTGCCACCGAGCGTCAGGCACTGTGCCAGGCACCGAGGGACAGGAGGAAGTTGTTCTCTGAAAGGTCTATCGTCTGGCTTTAGGGACCAACCACCTCAAACTTTCAGTCCCCCAGCTGCTGCCGAACTGGATCCCAGCCATGTTCCCAGCCTTAACCAGGGACCGTCCCACTGCCAGGGACAGAGACCCACCAGGTCCAGCTCCAGGGCAGGGTGATGCTCCGACAGGAAGTGCAGGAGGCAGCTGGACACACGTGACTGTGAAGCCACCAAGCTCTTCTCTGCTTCTCTCTGGCCCCTGTGGTTTCTCAGCTTCACTTTCTGTGTCTGTGTCTGCGTCTGCGTCTGCCGCTTCCGCCTCTCTGCAGACCAGCTTGCCCCATGGCCCGTGTCCCTGGCAGCGCAGCTCTCTTCATGTTTGTTTTTAATTGTGGGAAAGCGTACTGACCTGAGGTTTGCCATGTTTAAGTGCACGTTCCAGGGGCACTAAGCACACTCACAGTGCTGTGTAGCCACGCCTGCCCTCCACCTTCAGAGCAGTTTTCAAACAGAACCTGTCCTCCTGACCCAATAGCTCCGCATTCCCCTCCTCCCCAGCCCCTCGTAACCTCTATTTTATTTTCTGTCTCTGAGCATTTGCCTGTTCTGGGTCTCTCATGTAAGTGGGATTATGTGATATTTGTCGTTTTGTGTCTGGTTTATTACACTTAGCACAGTATCTTCGAGATTCATCCATGTTATAGCATGTATCGGGGTTTCATTGCTTTGGATGGCAGGAGAACGTTCCACTGTGTGTACGTGAGCATTTGGTTTATCTATTTATCTGTTGATGGAGGCTTGGGTTTTTTTACACCTTTTTAGCCATTGTGAGCAGTGTTGCTGTGAACATTGGTGTGTAAGCACGTGCTCAGGTCCCCACAGTCAGCTTTTCGGGTCTGTGAGCAAGGAGAGGATGTGCATTTTACCTTCCCAGTACACAGGGTTCTACCCTCTCCACGCGGCTATCTCCGCCCCCCTTTCTAGTAGACACAGCAATAGGTGTGAAGTGGTACCTCAGAGCTGTTTTGATTTGCCTTTCACTAATGAGCAGCGATGCTGGGCATCCTTCATGAGTATATTGGCCATTTGTGACTCTTCTGTGGAGAAGTGGTATTCAAGTCCTGGGACCATGTTCTACTCGGGGTGTCTGTTTTGTTGTTGTTGAGTTGTAGGAATTCTTCATGTATTCTGGGTATTAATCTCTTATTAGGTAGATGATTTGCAAGTATTTTCTTGTGTTCTGTGTGTTGTCTTTTCACCCTATTGATAGTGTCCTTTGATGCACAAAAGTTTTCAGCTTCCATGAAGTTCAGTCATCTATATTTTTCCCTTGTGGCCTATATTTTTGGCATTACATCCAAGAAGTCATTGCCAAGTCCAGTGTCATTAAGACTTCCCCCAACATTTCCTTCCCAGCAAAGAGCTCTAAAGTTGCAGCTTTTACGCACATGTCTTTGATCCATTCTGAATGAGGTTTGTCTGTGGTCATTGGGTAGGGACCCAGCGCTGTTCTTCTGCATGTGGCTCTCCAGCTGTCCCAGCATCACTGGTAGAAATGACTGTCCTTTGCCCATTGAGTGTTCCTGGCACCTTCGTCGGAAATCCATTGACCTACACGGGGGTGAGTTCCTGGGCTTTCTCTTCTATCTCATTGATCCATGTGTTCATCCTTCAGCCAGACTGATGTTTTAAAATGTTGGTGATACAATATCTTTTCTTCCTTGAAGCCCTTCCTTGGCTGCCCACAGCCCTGCATGTCCAGGCCCT